GTCAACTGAATGATCTTAAAGAAGCCATTGGATTATGCTGCACTTCAGTCTTCTTGTTTATAGCATGGAGACTGAATTAATATTCTTTACATTTTGTAAAGGTCTTTGCAGAAAATTATTTTACAAATGAAAGCACATTGTACTGAAGCTGTTTGTAAAGATGTATATTTAGGAGGAGATTATAACAATGTGCTAATCAAGATAAGCTACCCCTGACTCTTAGAATTACCTGGGTTGGGATATTAGTGATCATGCTGCTTGAACCCTGCTCTAAGCCAGGCTGCCTAAACCAGGGGTCCTCAAACTTTTTAAACAGGGGGCCAGTTCACTGTCCCTCAGACCGTTGGAGGGCCAGACTATAGTTTAAAAAAAAAACTATGAACAAATTTCTATGCACACTGCACATATCTTATTTTGAAGTAAAAAAACAAAACGGGAACAAATACAATATTTGTATTTGCATGTGGCCCACGGGCTGTAGTTTGTGGACCCCTGGCCTAAACAATTGTGCATTGGGCTGCGGATCACTTAGATTTTTGAGTTGAAATAGTTAAAATGAATTCTGGCAGAATTTAAAAAAATAGATTATGAGAAGGCAGTGATTAGAGGGTATTTGCATGTATGTACTATAATTTTGAGTAAACTTTTCTTTTTTAATCCTCACCTGAGGATATGTTTTTATTGATTTTTTTTTTCAGAGAGAGAGGAAGTGGGAGAGGGAGGGAGGGAGGGAGAGAGAGAGAGAGAGAAACATTGATTGGTTGCCTCCCATACCCACCCTGACTGAGGATCAAATCAGCAACCTAGGTATATGCCTTGACACAGAATCGACCATGTGGCCTTTTGGTATACACTATGATACTCCAACCAACTGAGCCACTCGGCTAGAGCAACTTTTTTTTTTAAAGTAGATAATACATTTAAAAACATGGGATGAAGACTCCCTTAAAATCACCACCCTGATCAAGAAATAGGACAAAATTCTACCTAAAATCAAATCAGAAAATTGCCCTTAAAGGCTAGTTGCTATACTACACTTAATATTTTTTCTTAATTTTTACCTGTTCTTTGTACACTAATTATAGGAATGAAATAATATTGTAAATACTCAGTAGGCCTTGCTCAATATTATATTTTTGAGTTTTATTTATATAGTTGCATGCATCAATAATCATTATTTCTCATTGCTCAGTTTAATCTAATAAATATACCACCATTTAATTCTCTATTTTAGTATAAATGAAAATTTATGCTCTTTACTGTTTTATTATTTTTAAAATAATGGTGCTTCAAACATTCCTATACATGTTTTATTGGTATATACATGTGTGCAATTATGTTGGATAAATTTCTAGATCATGGTATGTGTGCATATACAGCTTCAGAAGGTACTGCCAAACACTGTTTAGAAGTTATATGAATTCATACATCCACTTACAGCATATGAGACTTTAAAATTTTCTGTACTTTCTACACATTCATCTATTCAGTCTATAATCTTAATTATTCTGATGGATTCCTCACCTGAGCATATATTTTTATTGATTATTTTTAGAGAGAGGAAGTGGGAGGGAGAGAAACATCAATCAGTTGCCTCCTATACATGCTCTGACCAGGGATTAAACCCACAACCTTTTGGTGTATGGGAGGATGCTCTAACCAACTGAGCCACCCAACCAGGGCTGAAATAATGTCTGGAAAGAGTCTAGATATATGTATTTTTTCCAAATGAATAGCCAATTGGCCCAATAAAATTTATTGGGGAAAAAATATTTTCTCTATTGCACTGCAGTGTCATTTTGGTTCTATATTCTGTGACTTAAGTGTGTAGTCTTTATAAACATACTAGAGGCCCGATGCACTAATTTGTGCACAGGTGGGGGGGCCAGCTGGCCCGCCCCAATGGGGGCTGATTGGGACTGGGCTGGTGGGGCAGCAGGAGGTTGGTGGGGGGCGGGGGCTTATTGGTCCGGTTGGCCACTGCAGTGCGCGTCACAGTGACCGGTCATTCCGCTGGTCGGGTTGCTTGGCTTTTATATATATAGATTTATTCATTTTATAGGATCGTTTTTTGATTCTTTATGCTCTCTTGTTCTGTGGTCATATTTTCAAGTTTTTTCTTTTCTCTATAAAGACTTTATATACATTTATTGTATATTCCTGGAGACTGATAATTTCAATATCTCAAGGCATTGAATGTTTGATTCTACTGTTTAGATTTTTCAGCTAGCTCTTACTAAAGTTGTATTATTTATTTGAGTATTTTCCTTTTCTTTCTTTGCTTGCTCTTTTAAAACTTGCTTTTACTCTGGGCAGGAGATATGTCATGGAATTTGGTCTGTGGGTTTGCTCTGAGACCTGGGTTATAGAAGAGTTTCTCTGGGCAAAATTCATGTTCTGTCTCCTAGTTATGGGTCACCAGTCATCTGAGACCATTTTAAATTAAATTCTACATTGGAGATTTATTTCAGATACTGAAGGCAATGTGGATGCAGACTAAAGTAAATTTTCCATTCGAGGTTATTTGGGATCTCATCAGCAACACTGATTCACACCAGCAACTCACATGCCAGCTTGTGGTTATAATTTCTCAGGGAGAGTTTTGGACAAGCAAAATTCCCTTTCTGGGCCCTGGCTGGATGGCTCAATTGGTTGGAGCATTGTTCCATGCACTAAAAAGGTTGCAGGTTTGATTCCCAGTCAGGGAGTGTACAGAAGGCAACCAGTTGATGCTTTTCTCTCACATTGTTTCTCTCTCTCTCTCTCTCTCTCTCTCTCTCTCTCTCTCAAATCAATGAAAACATATCCTTGATATCCTTGGGTGAGGATTTAAAAAATTGCCTTCCTGGCCTTTTGTATATTATGTTTTTTGTATGTATATGCGTACGTGTGTGTACGTTTCTATGTATGTGTTTGGTTGGTTATTGGCATTTATCCTGACCTTGGAGTGGAAATACGCTCCTTTGGGAATGCAGACGTATTCGGGTTACTCTATAGCTTGCCTGTTAGAGAGCAGTCTTGGTTTTTATTTTCTGTCTTCAGCATCATAAGCAGTTACCAAACTAGAAACTCTGGAGTTCAGCAGAATATTTCTCAGAAAAAGATCAGTCGAGGTTATTTCAGCTCCCATGATCTCAGCTTTAATTTCGGTTGGACTTTGCAGATTTTTTTGGCTATCAGTGCTGTGACAGTTTATATTATTTTAAACCAAACATTGTGTCTCCTATACTACCCAACATAGTATTTTCCTCAGATACCTTTACTTTGTAAAATTTTCCTCAAATAAAAGGATAAATGTTTCTTTCCTGCTGAAGCACCTTGTAATAAAGAGATTAGTGACATTCTGAATGGATGAAGACCCCTGGGAGACTAGCTGTATACAGAGTAAAGGAACCTCAAGGCAAAGACAGAATTTCTGAATTCTAACCCAGACCTCATGCCCTAGCCTTAAAAAAGAAAAAAAAAACACATCAATGATGAATTTGATCATTGATTCTGCAGAATGAAGGTAATTCTTTTTTTAAACTCAATAAACCAATCAAGCCCAAATCCAGAAGAATCAATTTATGAGATCATCTTGGTCTAATAGGTTATCTTACACAGTGGGAATTTTTCAGAGAGTACCAGTCTGCAGTAACCATTTGCATTATAGAAATACTGATTCATCTGACAGATGTTATAGATGCTCTGAGGGGTTGCAAGATGGTGACGTGGACTTGCTTTCTATGGAGTTAGGTCACTTTCAAACTTAGTATCTTATATTTCATAGCCACAAATCACTTCTCAGCCATAAGAGTAAGTACTCACAAAGCTTTCCACTCAATAAAATCTTGAGAATGAAGAACCTGAAAGTGGGGCAACCTGCCCTTTCTTCTCATAGGTGCCTTACTAAATCCTGGGAACCTGATCCTGACTACAACCATCAGTGTTGCTGTATTTTCTATTTTCCTCATTTCTCTAAAGAACTCTCCAGCTCTGTGTCGGGCAGCAAATGGGTCCAGAGCAATGAGACAACCAAAAAAGGTAGCTGGTGAGCATCCAAAAAGAACTTCACTGTGAATGTGGGGTTAAGCTTGTATGTGACTGCAAAATCCATGCCAGCAGAACTGTAAGTAACTGGATCTCATGACACTTGGTGTGTGTGTTAGTGCTGAGTTCTCTGCTCGCGGCCATTACTTAGAGGCAGATGTTAATGTACTTGCCCCTTCTGATCATGTGGCCTGGAAGACCATCTGATGATCCATTCCAGTCACACTCTACTTTTTATTGACAACAAATAATAAGGCTCCTTTCACTTGCATTTAGAGTTTAATAAGGGATGTTTCAGGGACTTCGTGATTTAAAAACTCGCGCTTAACAGTAGAGGACGGGTGGGACAGAAGTCAGTTTGGCAGGACTTTTCTGACTCAAATTTCCTCAATGTGATTTCTCAACGTGGAAAGTCACTTATTCTGTCACTGAAGGACAGACACCCTTGATGGGCCCAATTTTTGCTGCACAGTCTGCAGTCCTTCGACCTGGAGGAGAGAATTTGTTTTCTTTCCTTTTCTCTCTCTTGCTGACATAGCATCATAGCAATCAAAGGAGCAGAATCCAAGAGCCGGGAATCAGGCCTAGGACAAGCCTGGTGTGTGTAATATTGTTTAGGGTCAACCATTAATACAGCAAAACTTTGTGTCTTCTGTTATCTGCCTTGAGCCATTATTGGGTAAAATAGAACAAAAACAAAATAGCCCATATTTTCAGGTCTTTGTGTTTATAGTAGAATTATAACAGCCCTCTAACCCCTTTAAACAGGATCTTTAGATGCTTAGAATTTGTAAAATACCATAAATTTGGTCTTTTCTTCTTCCTTAGACTGACATGCAAGTTAAGAAATGGTAAATGAAATGTCATTATGAAGAAATGACATCATTTATCTGTATTGGGGGAAAAGACACCAAAATATTCCCAGCCAGTGCTTGCTTCAGCAGCACATACATTAAAATTGGAACAATACTGAGATTAGCATGGCTCCTGCACAAAGATGACAGCAAATATATATATATATATATTTTTTTTTTCCCCTCGGCCAAAGATATTTAATCTGTCACTACACATTAGTTGTCTTTCCACTTTGGCTTTAAATATTTGATTTAGGGAATTATAGTACTAATATCTGAAGTCATGATCTGTTTGGCAATCCCCATTAAAGAAATCTCAACTTCACTTTCTTTAGGATGCCAAGCTGAGATTTAAATCTGTGTTAGGGGTAGGCAACTTGTATTAGTTACCTACTGCTTCATAACAAATTACTCCAAAATCTGGTGGCTTAAAACGCTTTTATTATCTCACACCCTGTTGGTCAGTGCTCTGGGCCTGGCTACCTGGGCACTCTGCTTCAGGGGCTTCCACAGGCTCCATCAAGGTGTCAGCTGAGCTGAAGTCATCTTAATGCTCCGTGGGGGGAGGGGGGGAGGGGAGGGAGAAGGTTTACTTTTGAACTCACAGGGTTCCTGGCAGGATTCAGTTCCTCATGGATTGTTGCACTGAAGGCTTTCATTCTCCACTGTCTGTTGAACACGTTTCAAGAAGCAGCCTGACACTTTCCCAGGTGCAATGTTTAAAAAATATTCTTAGTGTACTGATACTCCAAAAATCACAAAGTGCTGACATTTCTCCAGGTAAAAAGTAAAGCTATGGCTTATTTTAATGTTGGCAAAGTGGAGCCTGATTTTCTCTTCCTTAAGAGAATTTGTCATTAGACAGAATGGAAATGCTGAGGTATTGATTTGTAGAGCGGTTAACAGACAGCAGACCTGAAATACTAGTTTTTATCCATTTTGGTCATTTCTTCCAGGAACACAAACTCCTTTTCCCACCTAAAGGTTTGTAGCAAGTCCAAACAAATTCAATGTTTCATTTAATCAAGAGCTGCGAAAAAATATTAGCATTTCAGGCCTGTTACTGAAATGGGACTTAAAATTGTCAGAACTGCCTTTTGGTTCTAAGTTGGGCTTAGTAAATATTTACTCAAAGATAAATAATTGCATTGGTAATGAACCATTTAATATATCCTACCTTGAGCAATTTGGTTCCATAGAAGACAGTCAGAAGCTCCGATCTTGTTAAAAAGATATCCAACAGAGTAAAAATTGAGGAGTATTGGGAAAATTGAGGGGTGAAATGAGCACCACTTAACATGTAGTGGAATTAATATCTCCCTTCTTGGTGCTCTTAGCATTCCTAATATTCCAATTAGTAGGCTTTCAAATACGAAACTTCTCCCTGCCTTTACCCAGATGCTCACTTAAGCCATCCTCCTCCCTTGACTAGACTAGAGAAATAGCTTCCTAAATAGCCTCTGCATCTAGCCTTGTCTCCCTGATTTCTTTGCTTCCTAAAAAATCCACAAAGAAAAATATGCCACCATGGGGTGTGATGTCAATAGCGGGGAATATTGGGTAATATTGTGTATGTATGTGTGTGTGGGGGGGAGGTGCGGGGAGCAAGAGGTATATGGAAACTGTACTTTCCTATCAGTTTTTGCTATGAATTTAAAATACACTGAAAAATTAAGTTTATTAAGTTTTTAAAAAGCCACAAGGATTCTTTTAAAAGAGGTCATTATGTTCTCCTCTACTCATAATCTTTCAACACTTCCCAACCCTATCAAAATGAAATTTATTGTCCTTACCATGACTTAGCAGCCTTATGAGGTCTGGTCCAGGCGACTTCCCTGACATCATTCCCACCTTATCCTTTCATTTTTAGCAACACCCCCTTGTTACTCCACAAATGCACCAGTCAGTCTGTACCTCTGAGCTGTTGCATAGTCTGCTCTAATGGAGCTCTCTCCTCCCAGATGGTTCTTCTATTCCACCTGAGTCAGAGGGGCACCATGTCATTCTGTCAGAGAGGCTCTCCCTCACCATTCAGTCTATAGAGAAAGCCATTCTCCATCCGTCTCTATCCTCTGAGACTGTTTGTCTGTGTGTCACAATATGGACCTTTTATTATGACCATAACATATTGGAGACTTTCAAAAGCATTTCTGACTATCATAATGTATCACCACATTCAAGTAATCAATGGTGAAATATCAAACGTATGCTAGTTGTAAGCTTCCTGTTCCTGGAAGACTGAATAATAGAAAGGGTGTGAAGTTGCTTAACTTTGGGGTACTTCAGGATAAAATAGAATCATTGTTGTTTTAATTGATGTATGTTATATGCATTGAAACAGGACTTCAAGCAACTGTTGGTATCTGACCTTTAAATATTACCTGTCTTATACATGATATGAAAAAGCCTCTTTAGAGCAGGTCATGGTCCCCAAACTCAAGAATTTCACTGTGACACTGGAGAATAAAAAGGATTTCACAAGATTAAGGTATGATATGCCCCAGGAAGGAGCCATGAATGAAGATCAGAAAGGAGCCCTGACCGGTTTGGCTCAGTGGATAGAGCGTCAGCCTGCAGACTGAATGGTCCCAGGTTCGATTCTGGTCAAGGGCATGTACCTTGGTTGTGGGCACATCCCCAGTGGGAGGTGTGCAGGAGGCAGCTGATCGATGTTTCTCTCTCATTGATGTTTCTAACTCTCTATCCCTCTCCCTTCCTCTCTGTAAAAAATCAATAAAATATATTTTTTAAAAAAACCTAAAAAATAATAAAAAAAGGAAATCAGGGGTTCTTAACTTTGGTGCCAGGGGCCACTATGGCAGTCTGCTGAAGTCGGAGGCCACCACTATAGACTGATGTAAATGTTTGTAAATGCATACCGTAATATATACAGGATTACAAACAAAAAGAATTTTCTTGAACTACTGTTCTTTCTGTGGATTCCTTGGAGGTCCTTGAACCCAAAGTGAAGAATTTCTCTACATCTGGTGACTAGAAGACTGTGCAAGTATGGGACCTGTGAAGCTGAATTACATGAGCCTCAGTTTCTCAGCTGTAAAATGGGAAGAGCAATAGTGATTTATGGTAATCCCAAGGCGCAGAGCTCAGGATTAAATACAACACAGTAGCCCTACCTGGTTTGGCTCAGTGGGTAGAGTGTCAGCCTTTGGTCTGAAGGGTCCCTGGTTCAATTCCGGTCAAGGGCACATGCCTTGGTTGTGGGCTCAATCCCCAGTGGGGGCTGTGCAGGAGGCAGCCGATCAATGATTCTCTCTCATCATTGATGTTTCTATCTCTCCCTTCCTCTCTGAAATCAATAAAAAAAATTTAAAAAATACAACACAGTAAAGAGGTTAGCATGTAGTCATTAAGTACCTGAAATACTAGTATGTTATTTATTAGGATTCTATATACTCCCCAACTCCACTATGTTGACTGTGGCAGAAAAATAAGCTCCCAGGCATGGAGGGGAGGGCAGGAATTCTTATATCTACTAAGATGCTTTACAGTTTCAATGAGAGGACAAATGTCTGTTTCTCTTTTAAGTACATATTTCTGTTATTGAGCTAATAATTATTAAATGTTTGCTTCACTAGCTCATCCAGGAGAAGGCTGTTCCATTTTTATACTCCCAAAGGCTTGCTATATTCAGAATTGATCAAGAAATCTGTTCAGCACAAGATTATAGATAGACTAGAGGCCTGATGGATGGATTCGTGCACCGGTGGGGTTCCTTGGCCTGGCCTGCCGGGATTGGGCTGAAACCAGCTCTCCGACATCCTCCAATGGGTCCCGGATTGCGAGAAGGCACAAGCCAGGCTGAGGGACCCCACTGGTGTGTGATCAGGGCTGGGGAGGGACCGCGGGAGGGCTCCAAGGTGTGTCCGGCCCATCTTGCCCAGTCCCGATCTGCCAGACCCCAGCAGCAAGCTAACCTACTGGTCAGAACGTCTGCCCCCTGCTGGTCAGTGTGCGTCATAGCGACTGGTCAAAAGGTCGGGCACAGCATATTAGGCTTTTATTATATAGGATATAGCTATAGATATAAAGATCTTCTGAAAAACAAGGTTGAAAAAGAGATTGGTGGAGATAGAAGCTCTAAATAATTCCACTCTAAATCTAAAGCAGGTTAAAATGAAATATCTCTGTGAACACTTACATGCTAATAATGAGCAGAAAGAAGGAGAAAGTTCATGGGAACCCAAACTTCAGCCTCTACCTGGGAGAAAGCTCCTCACCTGGCAAGAATCTGTGAGCCGATAGCTGCCTCATTAGTGTCTTTGAAAAGCAATGTGCATGCTTTAAAGAGGAGCCTTATCTGTAAAGAAACATTGCCACTGTGTTAAGCATGGATAATAGTTTACTCACTTTTAACATGGGATAGCACCTCAGCCACTAAGGTAGGAGGAGATATAACTTCTGTGGGCACTTTTAAACATGATGGGGACCTTTAAAAATAGCTAAGGTGGGAAGTGAATCCTGGCAATGCTGGAATTAAGAGGTTGGAAATAAAGCAGATAAACATATTTTTAAAATACAATGATTGATCTAATATACTCTCAGACTATTGAGCCACACCCAGATGCACTAAATAAGAAACTTTGGGAGTTTCTAGTCATCGGAGTCAGAATGCTGATGTCTGCTCTTAGAACACCTCAATGGCATGATGTTTGAGCAGATCTTGGTTTGGAGCAGTGGTTCTCTACCAAGGGCAATTTTGCTCCCTCGGGGGGTGGGGGTGGGGGGGCATTGGCAATGTCTGAAAACATTTTTTGTTGTTGTCACAACTTGGGGTGGAAGTGCTGCTAACAAGTAATGGAAACAGTTTAGGGACGCTGACATTCTGCAAGGCATAGGACAATCTCCATGAAAGAATTATCTGTCCTACCCGGCCAGTATGGCTCAGTGCTTGAGTGTCAGCCCATGAATGAAGAGATCATGTTCGATTCCCGTCAGGATACATGCCTGGATACCCATTAGGGGTGTGCAGGAGGCAGCCAATCGATGTTTCTCTCTCATCATTGTTTCTATCTCTCTATTCCTCTCCCTTCCTCTAATACATACATACATATATATATATATATATATATATATATATATATATATATATATATATCTGTCCTAAAATGTCAGTAGTGCTGAGTTGAGAAACCCTGATCTAGAATAACAGTTTTCAAC